TGTATACTGGGCGGATGTTGTAATTAGCCTAATTGACTAGTAAAATAGATGAATGGGATTCTGGGCGGGCTGTGTTCCGGCATCGGCTGAGAGTCAGGTCACTGTACACTGGTCAATATCCCATTATCTGCCTTGCATTCAGCAGCACCCTGGGAGTGTAACGCTTCATGCCAAAGGCAAGTGGATATACCTGCTCATTACTGGGGTACAGTGGGTGTACTTTTACAATCTGTGCAGATACTGGACACACAACATGGCAAGGTGACGGTAATCACAAAACTAGCGGAGGAGCCCCTGTTATGTAGTTAATACCACTTCAGCTGGGTGCAGAATCCATGCGTCCACTAATTGCTTTAATATGATTTTAAATAGAGATTTGCAAACAGTTTCTTATGGACCAAATGGGACAGTATCCATGCTTCGAAAAAAATACCCCATTTTGAGGTTCCTGTTTTATTCCTCCTTATTTGGAAAGCAATTGTGTTTTCCATTCTTTTCCAGTTCATATTTTGCTGCTTTCTGCTTTCTCTGGCTATAAAAGGGTTAATCTTTTGCAGATCATTCGGAGACACAGACAGCTATAGGGCGATGCCTGACTGCAAGGCTGAGCCACAGTGTGTAATGGGTTAATCTCATCTATAAAGAGCAGATGTTCATGGGGGATTTAAACAACTGTAATCTTTCTGATAAGTGTTTAACCTCTTTTTCTGCCAGCAGACCCCCTCCCAGTGCCAGCCCCTGCCCACCAAAACATCCTCCTTTGCTGAAAAACCAGGGTCACTCAAAACATTGGCATCTGGTAGGAATCACATTAAGTAACCCTGTTATAGCAATCCCAGGTACCTCTTTACTGTTATGTGACGATAATAGCTGACCTAGATCACATGGGTTAATTAAAGACAATGTTTTTTTATTTAGGGTGAGTCACTATAATTTAAAGTAGGCTATTGGGTCAGCCCCTTCCCATTACCCTCATCCAGCCGTTGGCAACGGACAGACTACTTAGTGATAAAGGAGAGTACCCACTGGCACCGAGATATACTTTACATTAGGCCTGCACAATCTGTGGCACCCCAGATGTTTTGAACTACAACTCCCATGATCCCCTGACTATTAGCCTTGATTCTCTGGCTATCTGTTTAATTCAAAAAAGCATGGGCGTTGGCTATATGTTTTATTCATAGAATCATGGGCGTTGTAGTTCAAAAACATCTGGGGGCGCAGGTTGTGCAGGCCTGCTTTACATGAGTAGAGTGGAGCTTATTTACTAAAAGCAACTACCATTTCTTTCTTGCAATGCTGCATTGTTACACCAAAATGTCATTTACTGTTAGTGTAGTAAAACCGCGGTGTGGGTAACCATAGAAACCATGACACCATTACCCATCCAGTACATGAAGTTACTCAGTAGATTAAATTCTGATTTCCTGAATGTTTGAAAAGTTGTTTCCTGGCATTGAATTCATGGCTAGTGGGCCTCCGAGCTCCCAGTCAGGCTACCACAGATCACCTGACTGTGAATGTATGCCAGAATAAAATGAACTGCGTCTGTGGTGACAAAATGGCCTTAATAATGAACTGTATTAATCAATTTGATCAAATCCATGCTTGTGATCTGGAAAACATATTTTTACAAGTGTTATGTAGGGTTACCCAAAATGAACCACAAACCCCTTTCCTCCTCCTACTCTGTAAGGGAGGGGCAGAGAAAAGCCAGTATCACGTTATCCGGTATGAGTCCAGGTAAAGACCCCTATTCACTGAGTTTGTGGAATGCAAGGTAAACATGATAATTGGAATTCAGGATGTCCAGCTGTGTGGTCTACACATAGGACTGTTGGATTCCATCTACGTTTTTAAAGAAAATTCCCCACCTTACAAGTCACTTGGCATTCTCTATTCATTGCTGGGTTCAATTAGCATCTTTTTTTTCTATTTTATTATTGTTTTAATGGGGTACAGTAACACAATGTAAAATACTCTATTTTTTATTTTATTTATAGATTTGGAGGTGACTGTATTCTTATGTTTATGTTTTTTATATTTTTCCTTTTATGACACAGTTGTCACACCATATTATTGTATCGAGTGGTAATCGTGTTATACACATATCCAGATATTAATTTTGCCGTAGTTGTGTAATGTTTGTAGCAGAGACACGTCTGTACATTAAAAAGTGCAGTAGATCTAGTACATCGGCCTGTATACCTATACCTTATGTGTACACTCTCTACTACTTTGATGAATGCCACTAGTAAACTGTGTTTAACTTAAAGTATTGATGCCAATGAACAGTGTATGTTCCAGCGCAAATCTTTATAGCGGTCCATTCCTTGGAATCCAGTGAAATGTCCTTTTTTAGGCTTTTCGTACTCGTGAATTCTTCTGATCCAAATCATAGGGAGATCTGGCTTAGATCATAGTGGGGAGCTAGCGTCAAAGGCAGTGTCGCCCCAACGCAGACAAATAAATTCTATCAAATCTTGATTTTTTTAATTTATTTTTTACACTTACAGTCTATAATTTTACAGTTTATCATAGGTCTATGCAATAGCATTATTTTAAACAAGCATTTGCGTCTCACTTAAAGTAAACAGAGCATGTTTTATAGGTACTTTATGTTAAAAATAGTTTTTGAAAAACTGCAGGATGCTCTTAAGCTTGTCAAATGTCAGTGATAGATTCCACAGAGCAGACAAAAAATAAGTCCGCTACGAGTCAGGATTGTTACTTCTGTGCCAAAAATGCAACCCTTACGATTGTCCGTTCCTCTGCTTCTCATAACTGTTAAGATTGTTCTCAGTTTATCAGAGAATTGTGGTTTCCTCTTAGTGGGTACCAGAAGCAGCTTTAAACGGCAGACCTAAATATTATAATTATAATCGGAAATGGAAGCATTTCTTTCTGTTGCTTTCCATGTTATGTAAGAAGGCAAGTGATCTGGGTCTTTTTTATAATAGTTGTGTGTCTACAACACACGAGGATCTACCTTTCGGCCAAACTAACTTAATGAGTTAAGGAGAGGAGATTACCACAACTGATGAACCACTCTCCCACCATAGAAAAGCATAGTTAATTTGATTAACGTCGTCATCTTCCATTTCCTGCCCCATTATCGCTGACCCGAGTTCATAAGCGAACCACAGAATCACATCTATTTTCCATTTGTTCAGGCTGTCAATATATTTCCTAAAGGCTGCAATTCAGCACATCGGCCCTTTTGAAGTGTCAATTCTTGGGGTTCTGATGAGACATTATTAGCAGGGTACGTGCATGACAGTCTTTACTGGGGGCCTGTTTTTTTCTCTTGGTCGGAGAACATTTTGTCCGGAGGACATTCCTGGATGTGATACAGACTCTCTTTCTTATAGCAGTGGCTCTGTCCCAGGCCAAAACAATGTGGGCCTTTAATCTCTAGGGCAATGCTCTTCTCAGGCGAGATGCCTGGCATAAGATAATCTGATGGTCTGTTCTCGTGTCGCTGTTCACATACACTCATTAACCCACTCAGCATTCAGAAAGACATCTTCTCTCTACTCCAGTGTTTGAACTCTCTGATGTTCCTCCCAGCAGCGGAAAGTAAATATTTCTAAGAAAGATTTTCTCTTAGTGGGGGAAGTGTTAGGTCTGGAAGGAAAGGGGTTAATTTGATGAGTGCTTGTTTTATGGTAGAATGCGTTAGGTTTCACATTATTACCCTGTAGCCTATCCCTGACCTATAAATAACCGACTGCGTGATCTGCTCATAATTGGCAGCCAATTTGCCATCACTCGGACTGGTTTTACGACTGGTCACCTCCTGTACCAAGTCACACATTTATTGCCATTTAATGAGTAACAGAGTGTAAATGACACCTGCATAGTTGATGTGTTATATATGATTGTTATACACTGTCCCTATATAAATAGTCTACCCCAACCCCTCTAGTAGTTTATTTCTCAAATAAGAAAAGTAATATTTCTATTTCTCTGATACTTCTATATCTGGAGTTCTGTCTCCACCTGTGAATTCTAGCTAAACGTTATCTAAACCTAAGCATCTAACCTTAAAGGAATGCTGTAGGCACCCAGACCACTTCAGCTCATTGAAGTGGTCTGGGTGCAGTGTCCCTTTTGCCGTTACTGTTCCAGAGAAACTGCAGTGTTTACATTGCAGCACTAAGTCTGCCCTCAGTGGTAGTCTACCAGACAGCTACTTCCTGGATCCAAACGGAGATCTGATCTGGTAACTGACGCTGGACGTCCTCACACCCTGCATGAGGGCATCCAGCATCAGCTATTTCCCCATAGGAAAGCATGGCTTCAAAGGTTTCCTATGGGGGTCTAATATACATGTGGAATTTGCCACGCATGCGCATTAGCGCTCGTCTCGGAACGTTGGAGGAGGTGGAGCAGCATCGAAGGGCATCAGCACTGGGATTAGGTAAATAAATAAAAGGTTTTAACCCTTTATTTACCACGATGGGGCTGCTAGGGAGGTGGGTTGCAAAGTGAGCTATAGTGCCAGGAATACAGCCTGGCATTTATAGTATCCCTTTAAAATGGCTCTGTCATCTCAACCGACCTTTCTCCTAGTGTTTCCTCTTT